TCCCAAAAGTCCCTAAGCAAAAGAAAAAAAAGAATAATAATAATAATTTATAAATAAATATATGTCTTGTGTGAAAATTTGTCAATGAACTGCATTGACAGATAATATCGAGATTTTAATTGCAGTTTCATTTTGAAATATTGTCCATTTGAAATTTCTCGTTTTGAAACGCAAATTCATCAATGACAAAAGCGAACATAGGAAACATGGAAACGGATAAATACCCAGCCTATATGTATACTATATTCAGTAATCAAAATGCTGTCATTCAGGCATCAACTTATGGTTTCCTACTATTCTGTAATGTACCTAACGATAAGTTACATTCTTTTCAACTCAGTATCGAATAACACTTTTCCTAAATAAAATAGAAGAAATAAAAGAAAACCTCTTAAAAAGCTCGTGCATGAAATATATCAACTTTAGAACTATTACTATTGTAATTATCGAAATTGCATTTTCAACTAGTATCAGAAATCAATATTAGAAAATTACAAATCTGAAAATAGAGAAAAATAGGTAATTTAAGTTAACTGAAAATAATTTCATATTCAAAATTTAAAAAATTCACTTATTAAACATGTATAATATTAATTATTGTTTATTTTTCAAAAATTTTAATAAAATTCTTCGCAAGAATTCTATTATTTCCATAATTATTAATTACAATAATTATATATATATATATATATATGTATATATAAAATTTGTCACGAAATAATTGAATATTAGCAACAATTAAACTCCATAAATCAATATTTGCAACGAGGCAGAGTTCCGTAAAGCGTTTATAAGGAAGTGGAAGAGTGAGAAATCAAAGGAAGTACTTTCATGATAAACAAAGACAGAATATCAACAGTATACCTATGATTGACTTTATAATGAGCTCAACCTATAATGGAACAGGGTATAAAGTTAAAAAGTCATTCAGAATCTTTAATTTCAATTTCATTGACAGTTTACTTTTTTTAAATTAAAAATGGAACAGATTAGAACACAAAGGTAGGGTAATTAATTTCTAGATCACTTGCGAATCAAATTAACATTTCCTTTTTCCTTAAGAAGTCAAGTGCATAAATATTTTTGCACTATAGGCTCATTTTTTGATAACAGATTTGAATCTTTATTAAGGATATATTATCAAAACACTCTGAGCTGCGAGCCCTGAGCAAGGGGCACTAATTTCGGACATGAAAAGTCAGCAGCCTCCCCAAAATTCTTTCCCAGTTAGTCCCGTGAGGGGAAGTAGCCTTCTCCCACCATACGGCACACCAAGTCGAAACTGAGCCCCGAGCAACCCTCACAGCGGGGATCGCTCGGTCCCATAAACCCTTATTAAGGAAAACTGTTAATGACTTTTTCTATAAAATATAAATTTTTGAAATAGTAACATTTTTTATTTTTTATTAACATATTTAAATTCCTTACTTTCTCACGATTCTATACATATGTTGTTTACCAAAAAAAGTTAAAATTAAAAAAATTAATTATTTTTTCTCGATACATAGAATGAAGTTAACTCTATCAAGAACCATATACCTATTATTAAATAAATATTTACTGTATCACATAGGTTTTATCTAAATCACTTTAATGCTATTTGACCTAATATTTGCAGTATGTGAAGCAAATACCATTTAAATTAATCTTTAAATTTTAACATTTTTTGGTAAACATATGTATAAAATCGTGAAAAAGTAAGGAATTTAAATATGTTAATTTAAAAATTAAAAATGTTACTATTTAAAAATTTATATTTTCATTATTAATAGAAAAGTCATTAACAGTTTTCCTTAATGAAGGTAAGGTTAAGGGTCCGAGCGACCCCTGCTGTGAAGGTTGCTCGGGACTCAATTCCAAGTAGCCCTCGCAGCGGGGGCCGCTATGTCCCTTCTAACGGCGAACAGACAAACTAAATGCGAACAGACAAAATAAGTGCGAACAGACAAAATATATACTACATGCAAACGGAATACGGACTTTAATATTGTTAATTTCAAACCAATATTCATTAAATATTTTGAATATAATAAAGACTTAAAGACCAACAATTTTTAATTATTAATTGATTCTCTTTCTGTATTTTTACTCAAAAAATTTAAAACATAACCTCAAATTTTTTGCTTCTTAGGTACCTTTCTTGGGAACGCGTCACATGTACAGTCATTAAGGGGACATTCCAGTTCAAAATGTCAAAAAAATCGATTTTTTTTGTTTCTATTTTCGGATTTCTTATAGTGTCAAGAATACTCTCCTAAAATATTATTGCAAAATTCGAAGTAAAACAAAAGTTATACATCCTTATTCTTCGCCATGTCAAAGATGTTTTTGTATGCGGATAAGCAATCGAATGATTTAAATGTTTTGTCATTTGCATTTTTTAAAAAAGACAAACAAAAATGTATTTGGTGTTGCTGATCACAAATTAGATATCAAATTTTCAAAATTCAAAATGCCGGATCCAATATGGCGGAAAAGAAAATTTTTTATTTTAATTTTTTTTTCGTCCACAACATTGCATCCGCCATTTTTAATTTTGAAAAAATGATGTCATATTCGTAATCAGCGACCCCAAAAACCCCCCCGTAACGATTTTCAAGCAAATCCAATGATTTTGAAAAAAAATGTCCGCCATTTTGAATTTTAAAAATCTGATTCCATATTCGTAATTAGCGACCTCAAAAACCCCCGAGTAACGATTTTCAAGCAAATCCGATGATTTTTTAAAAAAAAATTCGAAACTTATGAACAAAAACTTTAAATGCGTTTTTCTTAAAATGTCTTTATATGATCTGGTAAGAGTGATATCTTGAGTTCTTCTGAAGCGATTTTAAAAAATCAAACGGCTTTTGATTCAGCGTCATCATGCCTATAAGTGGAACCTCAAAAACTGGAAAATTTCCAACTCCCCTTTTTTTATAAGAGAAATTATGTATAAAAACACCTTTTTTTTTGCATATTTTGGGAAAAAAGTACTCTAAAAAAGGGGGGGGGGGAAGAAAATTCCACTTTTTTGAGGTTCCACACCTAAAGAAATATCTAACGAAGAGAATGTCACTTCGTTTTTGGTTTTATCTGTTTTAGAAAGTTTGGAATCGATCTTACCACCGAAAATGGGCATTTTCGAAAATGGCGTATATCGCCGCCATTTTGAAATAAAAATGAAAAAAAAGTTTTTTTTACAAATTCTTAAATAAATTATTTATTACATGTAAAAGAAATTTTTTAAATAAATGTCATAGTTATTTTAATAATATATACTAAAAAAGCCTTCTTTTTGCCTGTTTTGAACTGGAATGTCCCCTTAAAAGTCGTTACTTTTATTATTATTCACACATAATGAATATTTCAAATTTTCATCGGATACACTTCTGGCATGAATCTTTTTTTAAATTTTGCTTTGTTAAATTTTCTATTAAAAAATTATAATTTTTCGATAAGAAAGTATAAAAACAACAAATTTTATGTCCAACATAAATTTTGAACAAAATGTTTTGATTAACAAAAGCTGGTTCACAAACAATATTTTTATTCTTTGCTGATTAATAATAAAACAAAATAATTTTTTGAGGTTTGGATGTTAAAATTTGGATTTGAGAAAAAGTTGAGGTCTACTCCTGCATTACACTAAAGAAATTCCCGAACTTTTCAGAAACCTGACGTGAACAGCAGGAGCAATTTTTGAAGTTCGTGGCAGATTACTAAGAAGTTCGGGAATTTCTTTAGTGTAATGCAGGAGTAGACCTCCACTTTTTCTCATATCCATCGTTCAGGTGGAGTTCGGGAACTTTCCTTGAACAAAATTTTTCTGTGTATACCATTATCATAACCATTATGGTTATGAACTGATAAAAAATCAATATTATTTATATTTTTTTGATTAAATATATTAATTTTAATTATACATCATTTGTACAATACTATATACATATATTTATTATTATAATTATTATTTAAATACCATATAATAATTGTGGTTATATGAATTGATAAAATAAGCAATTATTATTGTGATGCACTAAATTAATGTTTCTATTTTAATAAATATAATTAATGATTAATAATTAACAGCTTACATCAATCTCCTAATGCAGGTTTACTTTGAAATACGAATTTTGCAAATAAATTGCAACAAAGCTTATTATTAGACGTCATAGAAATGTTAAAATAATAGGTTTTTGAATCTGGTCAGTATACGAATATTGAAAAATTTACCACATTCAAAAACTTCAAATGACGATATCTCAGTGAAAAATATAGATTTTTCAAGTTTCAAAAGGCTTTTCAAAGGGGAAGAATAGTATTTTTAGATGCCGCAAATAACTTTTAGAAAAAAAAAATTTTTCTTGATTGTATCACGGAGAGAAAAATCAATCGTTTATAGCATGAATGCTTTGTATTTTAAAAGTATGAAATGTTAGTATACTATAACTGCAAAACAGTATACTGCGATTGCAAGAATCCTATGCTTTTTCGGTATTAGACTCTTGCAACTGGCTATTAGGCCACGCCCAGAGACTGGGCCGACCAATCACATTGCAGAAAACTTTTACCGAAATCGCATAGGTCTCTTGCAATCGTAGTATGAAGAACTTTCATGCTAAAAAGCCCAGATATTTCTCTCCGTGTACAAGACTTTAAAATTTCCCAAAAAATGTGTTTTTGGCACTTTTAGGTTAGAATATCTCAAAAATCTGACGTGATGGGGCAATTCTGAAATCAGATTCGGATTCAGCACGTCTAGAACCTTCGGAAAAGTATTGTCCGGTTCTTGGTTCTGAGATTCGCCAAAATTTTGTCGGCCTGTGTAATTTTCCTAGTTTGCGCCTCACTAAACAAAAGGGCGTCTATTTAGGGCCTTACGAAATCCTACTTTCAATTTCTACACAGGTGATATACTTTTAATTATTATTTGATCGGTCGAAATAAAAAAGTGAAATCTCAAAATTTAAAAAACCACTTGGTTCGAAAAAAATTGCACCTAATTGAAAAAAACTTACCTTTCACACTGCCTCAACGTCCATGAGGCAATGATCCAAAGGGACACCATTAAAACCAAAAGAACAGTTCCCGGGCAAATGGTCATGAGGGTTTTCAAAACAAACCTCGTATTAAAATTTATTCGATTTAAGGCTCCTATACTTCGTGACGAGGCATCGGTAAACAATTTCGAGTGCAAAAGCATCACTCGACATATGAGGTATAGTCTCAGGAACATCGGAAGAGATAAGGTGACATCGTATGGCACCAATTTTGAGCCCATTTCACCTCCCTTGTTCACCAGTTTTGTTGTCCATATGAAATAATATTCACCTGGAATCGGATGAATTGCGCAGATGGTTAATTCGAGTACGATTTGCGATATTCGTTGCCAGGTCATCGCTATTCGCCAGTCATCCGCGCAGTTATCGATCATGAATAACTGAAATCATAAAAAAAATGTATTATTATTTTCTACATATGTATGTATCTTTGAATAAATAAGTAAATTATTATTTTTTGTAATTTCATTACTTTTAAATATTATTTTAGTTTTATTTTTTTCAGGTATAAAAAAATTTTAAAACTTGAAAAAAATATTCTTTGAAAAATCCGAAAATTTTCTTTTGTTTATTTTATGGAATACAATTTAATGTCAGTCCACTAGATTAAGATTTGTGAGAACCAACAGGGGTAAGAGTACACTAGAACCTCCAACGATTGCATCTCTATCTATTGCAGTTGTTTACGAAAGTTTGGTGGTCATCCGCTAGGGGGGTGAGAGGGGAGGACACCGCCATATTAATGCGAAGGCAGTATTGTACTAAGTTTAGTGTTCTTTTGCGCCCCGTTTTTTAAAGTTGTATTTTCATATTTCAACATGAGACTGAAAAAGGTCAAAAACGTAAAAGAACGCACTTAGGCATTGAAACTAAACATAATATTTAAAAAAAATAAAAAATGGCGAGGATAAAAATGACATTTTACGCCAATACAAAATATGTGAGAGTGTACGGCCCTGAGTGTTGACACTTTTATGGAAAGATGGCGCCAAGGTGAAAACCTCCATCTATTGCACACAAGAAGGTCACGCTGCAATCGTTGGAGGTTCTAGTGTATTTTCAAGCATGTAAAAAGAGATTTTAGTTTTCCGCTTAAAATACCATGAAGATCAACTTTAAACATATATTTGCTATATTTTTCCTGTAATTTACGCTTGAAAATACATATGTATATTGTAAACCAATTACTAATTCAAAATGATTGTGTTACGTCAAAAACAAGAAACCTATTTAAATATACCTAACGTTCCTCGTTGATTTTCCTAGTTTATAGAATGGTTAAACTTATATTCCGCTGCTCTTCGTTCTTCTACGTGGGGAAGCTTATAGGAGGTCGTCTAATTGATGCACGATCGTTGTTCTTTTCACATGAAAAGTATTACTCATCTTTCTTGGATTTGTTATAATTTATAAGTTTGTTTAAATACATATAAAATATATAATAACAATTACCTTCTTTATAAAATATACTGAATATAATGCAATAATATGAAGAGATTGTATGAATACAATATTTAATGAGAGATATGTGACTGATTATAATGTAACAATATGAGAAAGTATTTCAAATACATTAATATAATATATACGTATAATTCAATATATTAAAAGGAAATACACACCTAAATATTGTAGTTAAATTAAGTATATTATGAAGTTATGGACGTAAAAATTGTAATTAAAATATGAAAATTAAAAAATTTAATTAAATTATTATGCAAAACTGAACATAAATTTTGCTGATACAAATGAAAATAAAAAAAAATTATGAAAAACGTTAAAAGACTGAAGAACATATTTTGTACATAAAAGTTTGTGTTTGGGAAAAAATGCATTAGGTTTTTTAATTTTATAATTAAAAAAATTGTGAGTACAAAGACGTTTATTTATTTTTGTATAAGAGTTAACTTTGACTTAACTTATATGAGAAGCTGTTTATCCACCTCACATTACCGGTGAGGTGGTTTTACAATTAGGTCAACCTACTTCATTAATAAATGCCGGCATAAGAGCTACACACTGCTACATGTACATCAAACTATATATATACAGTATATAAAACGAGATCCCTTATATGATTATCTTTCATTATTACAACTATACAATACACAATTATAATTATACTGATATTAAATTTTCATTCAAAATGTTAGTTAAAATTGTCTCTTTTGTTAAGGATTGAATACATTTTTAAGAACCCCAAGTAGAAATGTCCGGAGTTAGGACGGAGTTATACACCGGCATGGTACTGACTCAGTACTGACCGTCGCGTCGGTTCTGACTTTCGGAACCCGATCAGTACTGGGAGTATACTGACTCTAAAACCGAATCAGTAATACGTCGGAGTTAAAAAAGTATTAAAATCAGTACTGGCAGAAAACTGGCATAACACCAAATCAGTACTGCTAAGGAGTTAAAAAACAAACAAAATTTGTTATAGTGTCATTAAACCGGCCACTATTAATAACAACATCGTTTGATTTATTAACTATTTAAATATTTTCCAAGATTTTTAAAAACATTATTCATCAACAATAACATCAAACACTTAATTAATATATTATTAATTATTAATTAATAGGTATATCATAATAATAAATTATTATTTATTAATTATTTTTACTATTACGTATTATTAATAATAAATTTTTTTTTTATTTTTGAAAAATGTGTCACATGCCACGTGTGTGACCTTTAAGTAACCTTAGACCAGACCTGTTACCAAGCAAACTTGACAAACACCCATCGATGAGCAATCTTTTTACAACCCTATTACGTCGATACACGGATGTGATCTGGGTATATAAGGCCCTAAATTTGTATCCAAAAATCAGTATCTAATTTAAATCAAAGCGATCGACATCATCTCTGTACCAGTAGTCAGTGCGAATCTATACTCGTAACCTACGAAAATCCCAGTTCAAGTAATACCCATCTCGTGAGTGAGCAACCTCTTGTCAATCTCCAAAGCAGTAAAATTGGGAAGGCGGTGCATCTGAGCTGACTGTGGACTAGGGTGGTACAAAAATATATGAGAAAAAAATAAAATCAGAATTTTAATGCTCTCACCCCCTAGGATTGTTCTATATGGAGAAAAAAAATACCCCTATTTTTTTTTTGAAAATAAAAAAATATTTAGAGGTCGCTCAAAGCGCTCAAAGTTTTCCATGTAAAATGCATGGGAAAAACACTTTTTTGTAAAATTGGTATAGAATCCTTGAAAATCAATATTTTTCATTCAGCAAACTCTGTTTCTCTTCAGAAGACTAAAGAATAGTGCTAAATTGTTTATTTCATCATTTTTTAAAATTAACTATTTTTTATAGTGCCCCCAAAAAACCCTATAAATTTTCAAATTATAAAAAAATCGTTAAAAAATATTTTTTACTATTTTTATCAAAGTTTTTTCCTAGATTATGAATAAATAACACAAATATTGATTTTTAAACATTATTCCATGTAATTTCTAATTTGTTTAAACAAATTATTATTATTGTTTATTTACAACTTTTTATCTAATCGAGCTAAAGAGTTCCGATTTTTTTCTTAATTTTGCAACTTTTCAGGCCGAATGTAACCAGTCACTATTAAAGAATATTAATTCTACCAATTGTGTTAACAAATTACTATTGTTTAACTTCCACTTTTTATCAAATTTAACTGCAGAGTCGCAATTTTTTTCTCAATTTTGCATTTTTCTAAGCCAAATGTAACTAGTGACTAACAACAATCTAAGAATTACAATTTTACCAGTTGCTTAAACAAATTGTTATTTTAAATTTGAAGCTATCGCAGTAGTAATTTCAATGATGTAAATAAAATTTTTTGTACTTAACATTTTTATAATAATAAATTTATTGTTCACAATTTTTACTCGATAATTAAGTCTTACATTAAATATTACCTCACAAAAAAATAAAATGTACAATTAAGAAAAAGTTGCAACTCTGTAGCTCATTTTGATAAAAAGTCGAAGTTAAACAATAGTAATTTGTTTAAACAATTGGTAAAATTAATATTCTTTAATAGTGACTGGTTAAATTCGTCCTGAAAAGATGCAAAATTGAGAAAAAATCGCAACTCTTTAGCTCAATTAGATAAAAAGTTGTAAATAAACAATAATAATAATTTGTTTAAACGAATTAGAAATTACCTCGGAAAAAACAATGATAAAAATAGTAAAAAATATTTTTTAACGATTTTTATATAAATTTTAAAATTTATAGGGTTTTTTTGGGGCACTGTAAAAAATAGTTTAAAAAAATGATTAAATAAACAATTTAGCACTATTCTTTAAAGTCTTCTGAAGAGAAACAGTTTGCTGAATGAAAAATATTGATTTTCAAGGATTCTATACCAATTCTACGAAAAAGTGTTTTTTCCCTATGCATTTTACATAGGAAACTTTGAGCACTTTGAGCGACCTCTAAATATTTTTTTATTTTCAAAAAAAATAGGGGTATTTTTTTTCTTCATATAGAACAATCCTAGGAGGTGAGAGCATTAAAATTTCGATTTTACTTTTTTGGACCACCCTACTGTGGACGCACGAGCGGAGAACGGGTTTCCAGCTTCGAATAGAAGCAATAAAGGTAATTAACTAAATCTTTTCATCATATCTTTTCAATACAATTTCTATATCTAATTAACGCCTATTTGTTAAAGGTGTTTATTGGAAAAGGAATTGGTCTTCTCTCGGCAAGATACAAATAACGAACTTCAAGAAATCATTATATAAATTTTTATAATAAATTTCATTTAACTAACTCTTAGACTTTTTCATTGATTCTTTTTCCTCATTCCCAAATAAGATTTCTTCGGAATTTCTTATTTAAAACGAGGATTACAAATGTTAAGAGGTGAGTTACTTTTCACGTAACATACCCTCTTTTCTTGGTGCATTGGCCGGGAAACCCATAAAGAATCAATGATATTATTCTTTCTGATTCTTATTTTTTCTAAAAATCTATTTCTACATATTTTTAACAATTCTAAAAATGTTCTATTAAAATTCGAAACATTTAAAATCAATTTTTAACTCTTATTTTTAAAAATTCTAAAAATTAATAAGAAATTGAAACACAAACCAAGAGAGAATCAATTCCAATGATTAAATCATTTCTTTTAAAAATTAATGTCTACTTCTAAGGAAAATATTACACAAGATAAACATACAACTCGATCAAAAATCAAAGAAAACCCTACTTTAAAACTTAACCCAGGAATTCCCTATTTTAAACCTTTAGCTACTGGTACACCTAGATACTCTAACAAAAATCCAGACCCTTTTTGCAAATCCGAATTAGATTCAGAAATTGGTCATTCATTATTTGATAACAATTCTTTTAATACTGACGAAGAAAGTGACAATACAATTTTA